TGAGATTCAGTGCTTTTTTGCGACTTTGTTTTCAACGAACTTTGAATGTTTGCGCAAAAGTTCTACATTTCATTAATCCGATCGAAATCGGATCTCAAATGTAAAATTTTTCTTAAATGTGCAAAAGTCTACTGCCAGAAATTTTGAAATATGAGCGAACAATAGTTGCAAAAAACTGCCATTTCGCTTATTTTCACAAAATCATAGGTACAATGATGAAATCTGGCAATGAATCACATGCACTGACACAAACACGCACACACAACAGACATCGCATACAAAAGCGACTTTTGAATAAGCATTATTACGATGCTTCTCATAAATAATCGAACTTTTACGCCGAACGGTGAAAACTGTGACGCCGAACAGTGATTTTTTTATCACTGGAAATCTGAATGCTCTCAAAACAAAACATCTAAAAGCGTCTAATATTTTTTCTGATATAAGTGTAAATTGGCTTACTTTTTAGATTCGTTCCGTTTGCCGTGTAAGTGCTCCAAACGATGGAACACGTTGATAACATCGCGTGGCCGACGTGGTGCCTCCTCAATCTTGCTCGCTAACAAAAGACACGCCATTACCGTGTACTAAACCACATTTTATTGTTACCGTATGTGCAATTAAGGAAGCCATAAAAACTGGAAACAACGAGTTCATCAAATCTCAAGCACAGCTTTGTGTTCACAGGTCAGTTAGCACAGCTGCCCTTACACAAAGGTTTCCGCGTCAGCTTGCACGATGCTTTTACGCAAAATGCTTAGCTACAGAAAAAGACACAAAAAAGGGGTAAACATACTCCAAAATCATGGCGTACGAACGACCTCTGGTAGTAAAAGCGCTGAAATAATATTTGAGCGGTTGCCGCCGCCACCTGAGGTATTCGGAGTAATATGGCACCGGACTGGATGAGTTCACAGCCGAGGAAGCGCAGATCCTTAAATGGCACTACATTTTATGCATGGAATTTGCGAGGGCAACGGCTGGAAGGACTGTCACTCACCTCCTCGGTTTTTCTGTCCAAACCATCAGCCAACGAAGGCGGCTTCTCCAGCTTTTCCACCGAAGATTCGTCCAGCGTGAGCAACCACTTATCAGCCGATATGTTGATCGACGAATACAATCTACATTTAGATGACATTTCACTAGCAGCTGCGCTATAACGAAAAACACGTAACCACTGAGCTTGCACAGTAAAACAGTCAGCATGCACCAGCACGCCCCCCTCCCCCACTCCCTCAAAAAAAAGAAAAAAATTTTGCTTCAGTTATTGCTGCACCCCCTTCCCATCCCCAGAACCGCATCCATCAGTTTTTTTTTTTTGGAGAAAGCTGGCCATGCACAAGCAAATTTGGCGAGCAGGAACTTTTCGAATTGAGAAAAAAAAAACTAAAAAATTCAGAAATCTGCGCCTATAACAAGACTGATTTGTGAATATCTAAACAAGCCTTAAAACATTTCTACGGTGAACTGCACAGCAGAAATTTTGAAGGTTACCTCGTCTGACCAAAGCTGCTTGGCTTGATCTTTGAAAGTATTCGATCGTTCACACGCGGCTGTGCCATACCATCATCACCATCATCCTTGGTGTTGTTAGAACTCGAGGGAGCATTTATCCCATGCTGTAATTTTTCGCCGGCATTTTCCGATGTCTTCATGCCAAGCGAATTTTTTCGCATCGGGACCTACAAACAGGCGTGTGATGAGGTATCTGGGAGGAAAGGAAATCTGCGCACTACAGTTCGGTCCAGAAACGAGCATCTGTCTACGAGAAATGACGGCCGAAGTACAGTAACTCGGCCCTCAAGTGGTCAGGAACGGGACTGCTTCGTTATCGTGCCACCATCGATAATTTCTTCAACCAAATAGTGCCAAACTTACTGCAGAGATTCCTGGTACCAGAGGGGTTCCAGCGGCGCCAGATTTTCCCGCCCAGGTCCTCGAATAGCACAGTAACTTTTCCTCAATTTTCATTACAGCTAGCAGAGCATGCAAACCCGTAGCATCGAACAAAGTATGCGCAAGTGGGTGTTGTGCAAATCCGCCTCGCGGTGGTACTTCAGTAATAAGTGGACTGGA